TGCATGAACATGTATGATACCATTAATGCATACTTTTCTCCCAGTGAATGCTGCTTTATGGAGAGGTGTGTCTCCGACATTATTTGGCAAATTAACATCTGCTCCAGCCTGTAAGAAGCACAGATGAGTAACAATTAAACATTAAAATACCAAGCGCAAATTCTACTCTGAAACATACCAGTGCACACATATATGAGAATATAAAAGGCTGAGATGATCGATACCTTCAGTAAGGCCTCAACAACATCTCTGTGTCCAAAGTAGCAGGCCAGATGAAGAGGAGTCCATCCATGATTAGATTTGCTCTTGCCTGAAACAACGTAACGCTGTTAGAAGTACTCCAATATGTCTAGAAACATTCAAGTGGTCAATAGAAACCTAATGAAGTGTTCTACCCTTGCAGTTGATGTCGATTTTGGCCTCCTCCTTTATCTTGGACATCAAAAGCTTTTGGATTCCTTCTAGGTTGCCGTTCCTAGAATCCCTGAGGAACTGCTCCTCCGGGTCCAGCTCCTCCATGACTTTATGAACAATTTTTTAAAAAAGCATTAAAAACCATAAATCAGAGCCTTGAGTAACAGAGTAAGTGCAGTGTATCTAAAAGTCATTTAATATTCCAGGAAATATATAAAGGCAGATTATTTGAAACATCTGCCATGTGATTTCCTTGTTTAGACTGGAGGAAAGCATTTAAAAGCCATAAACAGAGCAGAACCGTTTAGTGACGTCATCAGAAATACCCTCATAATAAAGGTCTGGTGGAAAAGCACCAAAGAAAACCTGACAAAAATAAATCCTAAGCAGGTTAACCCTATAAAGCCTAGTGCATCATATTTGATAGGGAAATTATCAACATGATCAAAACTATATTCCTTCTGTCATATGACTGATAGTTTATACTTTTTTAGCAAGTAAAAGGCCTTTTCTAAAAATGTCCATTCTAAAAACTTATTTCAGCTCATGATACACGTGTCTTTTAACTGTGAAATCTTTTCTGATTTTTATGTCGTAAATGTAAGAGAAACTTATGAAGGTACTGTAACTGTTAGCAATATTTCAAGATGAACACCCGCTGGACTGAAACAGGTGTTACTTGAGTATCCATAAATCACGTTAAAATGCAAGGATCAAATATGACGCATCATGTTTTTGAGGAACATTTATTCATTCATCTCTCAAGCATCTTTGTATTGCATTGCATTATGTTTTTTCCCTCACAATAAAACTGACAGAGCTTTGATCGTAAACAAAGCATTTAAATTGCACGAGTGACAACTGATATTTATTCGTGTTTTATGTAAGTGTCTGCTATACTGTTATAAAGATCTCATTGATTTACATTAGCTATCAGAATTACATCTTCACTTTTTGGCCATATAAAGATCAGCAACTGCAAATTTAATATCTTTCCTCAGAGTGTAGGTGTTTTTTCTCCCTCAAGTATGAGCTCCACATCCTTATTATGATATGAGAATAAAAAGCCTGATACTCAACAAAGACACATATGCACGCTTTTTCTTTTTAGATTTCGCCTAAAGAATCAAACTGCTCCACTTAAAAAAAAAAAAAAAAAAAAAAAATTTG